TGTTGTTGTTGTTGTTGTTGTTGTTGTTGTTGTTGTCTCCATTCTTTTAACCCTTACGGCGCCTTACGGTGCCAAAAAAGATGTTGACTGCACCAATCAATCCCAGGCTTTCAGAGCGCTTGAAGATGTCCGCAGACCATTTGGGCTCCCTCCGACGGCTCTTGGACCTCGCGGCATCCTTGGAAGCACCGACGGCGACTGCACTGGAAGCGCCTCCCTCCGAGTCGTTGCCAGAGGTCCAGCCATTACTCAGTGATCAGATTCGCCGCCCGGTGGACCTGATTTGGATGGTCGGTGTGGCGGATGCCTTTTTGAGTGGCGTGGTAGGTGGTACTAAAGTTGGTGACAGTATATTGGCCTGAAGAGGGCCTGAAAGTCTACCAAGTGATGAATTGGGACCTGTTCTGGAGTCATGCCCAAAGGATTGGTATGGTATGGTAGGCCCAGAACAACTGCTGCTCACAGTTGCGCCTTGCTGGATCATTAGGAGCATTCTTTCCTGCGGTTGTGGGGTTTGAATTGCCTTGGTTTATGTGATTTTTAGTTAGCGAAGGTTTCTCTCCAGAAGATGTGACCACACCTTGTGACAGTGACCCACGCCCTCCATGGCTGAAAGACCATGAAAGACCCGTCGCGTCCAGTCGCGACGGAGTCGCGTTTGTCCAGTCGCGTCCACCAGCGCTCCCAATCGCCAAGGACCGGAGATGCTGGGCGCCATCTTCGCCGAAGCCCCCGACGCCGACGCCTACGTGGCCGCCGCGGCGCAGGCCGCGGAGTCCGCCGAGGCGGCGGCCGGCAGGGCGGCGGAGGCCGCGGCCGAGGCGGCAGAAATCGTGCAGGCGGTAACCGGAGCACAGGAGGAGCAGTTTGATGTGCAGACAGCTGCTTCTTCCGAAGTGTTTGGTTTTGGAGTCCGGGGTAGTTGAAGGTTTTTGGGAGGCCTCAGGGCGAACATGTAAATCTTGGTGTCTTTAAGTCGTCCCAAGGCTCAAGTGGGTCTTGTGATCCGACGCTTCGTGGAAAGCAACGACGCTTCGTGTGCTTCGTTGGACGACTTGATTCCTCCCAGCTGCACGGGGAAAGACACAGCAGCGCGGACC